AACAGCGCATACTTCCAGCGGGACTTTGGGGGAAATATGTCCATGGTCGTTAGGGGCAGCTCGGCTTCTCATTCGTGCCATTTAAATTGAAACTTATGATCATTAACAAAGTGGGATTGTATCACTAATACCAGCCAATAGCTCATTAAGAAGCTCTCTGCTACCCCGACTTTGAGCGCCCAGAATGACCCTCACTTCACGCCCGGGCCGGTAGATACCCAAGTTGCTCTACAAGCAAATAAAGCAAAGTTCTTTTTCCAACTGGTAGGCCGATCTTTCTCTTCTTTGGTAACCATGTGCTCGGAAGTGTTTCTCATATGACGTAGGAACGAGAACTAGAGAAAGTCAACGCCTTCTACCTTCAGAAAGAAGCCGAAGTAAGTGTAGATCTGTAACCATCCATCCATCCAGCCTTCCTCCCGTGTTAACATCCGATAAGCTTAAGATTCGGCTTAAAACATTGCTAGATAAGAAGAGGGTTCTACAATCTCGGCAGGGTGTTTCTAGGCGATCGGCCAAGTTCACAACTTTGGAAGAAGGGTTCCAACAATTCGCCAACGATCTTAACAAGCTTCAGCAATTTGTCGAAATCAATGGGACCGCCTTCTCTAAAATCCTCAAGAAATGGGACAAGACATCTAAATCCAAAACCAAGGAGCTATATCTCTCCCGCGCCGTGGAGGTGCAGCCCTTCTTCAATGCTCCTGTTATCAGCGAGCTTTCAGACCAGGCAACGACCAGTCTACAAGAGCTGGGGGCTTGGGCGGATGGGGACAATGTCTCGTTCGAGGCTCGATCGGAACATATGGTGAGCAGTCAGCATCTGCTCGGAACGGACGAAGGCGATGCAGATAGTCTGCTACTCGACACGGCAATTACAGGTAACTTGGAATCGCTTCGAGACCTCTTGTTAAGGATGCGAGCTAGTTCACCGTCCGGGATGGATATCTCTTTGATGGAACGAGTAACCCGCACGTTTCTAGCTGCTATCCACGAAGCGCCGCAAGCTTCTCTCGAAGTCCTACTTGAGACCGGACTCGTCGACATTCGGTCTGAAGATGATATCAACGAGCGGAATTGCCTTCACCAGGCCACTATCTACGGAAACTCGTTTGTGTTAAACGTCGGTCTCTCAGGAGGAGTGGAGGTTAATAGAACAGATGTCTATGGCCGGGTACCACTTCACTACGCGAGCATGCATGGGCGTTTGGACATGCTTGAACTCTTGCTTCAAGGTAAGGTGGCTTCGGTCTTTAGGTACATAGACGATGATTTGCTAAGTTGGTGCCTAGCTAACCCAGCGACAATCGATCTGATCGATCACGACAACTTCACCCCACTAATCCACGCTATCATCCATGGCCACCTTGCCTGCGTCCAACGACTTCTCGCCACCTCATCGCGCTTAGACCCTGTGTCAGAAACAGACCATATACCTTTGAATTTAGCTTGCGAACATGGATCACTTGACATAGTCAGGCTTCTTCTACAGCATGGCGCGCGCATACTCCCTGATGCCGAAGGACTGTACCCCCAACACCTCGTAGCGAGGTCAGGTTCGACACCCGAATTACTCCGCTTGTTGCAGGAGTATGGTGCCGATTTGGATCAAATCGACAAACTATATGGTTGGACCCCGCTGGTGCACGCAGCGAGCGAGGGGAACGTGCCTTGCTTAGAGGAGCTTTTGAATGTGGGCGCCGATCCGAACATTGTCGATGAGAAAGACTTCCCTGCTATGTACTACGCCGCCTGGGAAGGTCACCTGAAATGCATGCAGAAACTTACACCATATCAAAAGGGAATGGGAGATAGCCCCTTGGCGATGCAAACCGGTCCTCTTCTGGCTCCTATGGGGAGCGGAAGTGCGCCCGTTCCCATGTCACTCGACGCCGACGCTATTCCTGTCCTTGAACTTCCACCGCCGATAATACCGCTGCGACGATACGGCCATAACTTCCTGGACACCAAAGCCGTTATCCTGATCAGTTTTCAAGAAGAAGGAGATCACCCTTTAGTGTTTTTCCACGATAGCAAGTACCCGGCTTCGAGGTTGACCATCTCGTCGAAACTGTCGGATCTCATACCTAAGAACATCATGTTGCCTTTCCAAGAAGATACCCGGCTCGTATCTTTCCAGGTCGATAATCTCGACACATTCACCCTCGATTTCGACGTTTTCCCAACTTACGGCGCAAAGATTATTGCGAAGACAGTTGCTCTTCCAAACACATTTAGGGCTTCCTGGGGCAGCTCAGGGAAATGCTGCCTTCCGCTATTTGACCCTCGACTCAGAGCGATTGGCCAAATATCTTTCAACACCCAAGTAATAAGACCTTTCCAGGGGACCCCGCTGGAGATTACGGATTTTGAGACATATTGGAAAGCTACGAGCCAACTGGACCAAAACCCAAACATGTTCGTTACCGGCTCGAGTTTGTCCGGCGACTTTGTTCAGCTATACGTTCAGCATACCAGTGATGGGATCCCGGTAATATGGCCACAATGGACGATACAATGCGGCGGTATTGGTGTATCGGTCACGCGACTATCCTACGAGCAATTCTCTACTATCAACTCATTAAACCCCAGCCGAGCTCAACTTTCCCTGATACCTTCGCAGGGCCTCGATAATATTGCCGACGTTCATCGCGTTGTAAACACAGCAGGCATTTCCTTGGAACAGGCACTGTCCCTACTTCCCAATTCGATGCATGTCAATCTTCAGATTATCTACCCATCGGAAGAGGAAGAGAGGAGAATAGGGCTCGGACCGACCGTAAATGTGAACGGCTTCGTCGATGCTATACTGACCATAGTATTTGACCACGCGAGAGAGCAGCGGTCGCAGAGGATGTCGGCTCCCGATACGGTCAGGTCGGTGGTCTTCAGCTCTTACAACCCGACGCTCTGCACGACGTTGAACTGGAAGCAACCCAATTTCCCTGTATTCCTTTGCAACGACCTCGGCCGGGAGGAGGTAATGCTTGCGCCGGACGTGATCCAGAGCAGCGGACGGAGAACTTTTTCAGTCAAGGAGACGGTTAGAATAGCACAGAGCAATAATTTCATGGGGCTGGTTTGCTGCTCTCGGCTATTGGTATGTTATACCCCTCAGAATTTTGCCCATATCATATGCAGAGTATCACTAACACGCTCGTATTAGAACATGGTTCCGGCTCTCGTGGATGCCATAAAATCGCACGGGCTAGCGTTGGTTGTTGATAAGTCGGCCGAGCAGGGCACAGAACCGTACCTGCATGCCGATTCTTTCCCCATCCCTAAGGGCGTTGATGGTTTATTGAAGGGGAACGGCGTCTTGAGGTTTAACGAGTCCATAGATGTATAGACAAAACGATGCAATGCGACTGAGGACGGTTGGCTACGGATTTACCTCTGTCAGGCTCTACGGAATATTCATATGGGAGCGGTCTTGGAATTAGGCTCATGCTGATACCGAAGCAAAGCGTAGAACAGCATTAATAGTTTAATGACATGCGTGAACATGAAAATATGCCTTATTTTATTGCGTTCTTGGGAATGATAATGTTATGCTGTTAAGCCCCCTTATATTCATACCGTAGCGCACCGAGATCCCTCTCCGGATCCACGCCACCCATCACCATCTTCGCCACGAGCACAACTCCGTACACGATGGCAGGTAGGTTGCTCAGCCCAACGTGGCCCCAGTGCCCCTGCGAAACAGCCGATTTCGACACGAACCCAGCCAGGACCAGCACCGCGCAGAGCCCTGCGTTCAGATACGGCAGGTACGTCTCCAGCGGCGACCGCGGACGCCCCTCGGCCCAGTACGAGAGCGCGTCGCTGCTCCTCTGCTTCCGCTTCTTGCTCTCGCTCCCATTCCCGCTCCCGCCAACCCACGCGTCCAGCACCCGCACGCCCGTCACGCCCGGCGGCAGCGTCGCCAGCACCCAGCCCGTGCACGCGAGGCTCGACAGGCTCAGCAGCGCCGTCAGCCGCCCACCCGCACCCTCGCCCTCATCGTTTTTAGGAAATAGCAGCGTGATCAGATACGGCAGCGAGGACACCGCGGGCAGGCACAGCAGCAGCAGCCGGAACTGCGCGTTGCGCGCGTCGTTCTGCGCCGCGAGCGCCGCGATCAGCGACTCTTGCTCCTGCTCGTCGGGGGCGGCGGGGGCGTCGCCGTCCGAGTCCGAGTCCGAGGAGTCGTGCGGGTACGCGAAGGTGCGGCGGAGGCGCGTGGTGGCGCGCTCCATTTTCTGTGCGGAGGTTTGGAGGTTCGTTAGGTTGGTGGTTGATAGTGGATGGGTTCGGTTTCTTTGCTGGCTGGTTGTTTGTTTGCTGGGAGAGGTGTTTTTTAAAGTTTAGGTCTGAAGGTTATCGTTTTATGGCATGTTTCGGCGGTTTATTATGTATTACGTAGTATGTAGTAGCTGAGCTGATGCTATCGTGTGCTTGCGATCAGGCTGAAGGGTAAGAATATGAAGCTAAGATAGCTAGACTTAGGAAGGTAGCCTTGTGACTGGGCGAAGGTTAGGTTTCGTATCTCGTGGACGGGAGTGACGTAGTGGTTTAGAAGTGGGTATATTAATCATTCAGCCACTAAAGTTTACGTGGGCCTTAACATGTGAAGTGTGGCTCATGCTTAGCTGTGGCTTATCGTTATGCTACCTAGAAGCCTCCTGAAAGTTACAGGTTCGTGATCACGATCTCTATTCAGAATAGACCTTTTAAGCAGGCAGTGATCTAAGGGGTTTAAATTTCGAGGGATCTAGTTCAGTATTTGTCTTCGATATATTGGAATTGCTACATCAGTGCAAAGCTTAACGATTAGTTATGAAGGCTTAGGTATAGTAGACCAGACGTATCTCGAATCCTGTAGCTAGCAAGGTTAATACATATGTATCGATGATTGAAGCTGTGAGAGCAAAGCATTCCAGGAAATTGTCCTTGTAAATACTATCACTATAACGTTTGTCACCAAATTCTCAACAAAATGGTCCGCGTCTATGCCAAAGGGCCTAGTAGCTTAACGGTAAAGCGCTCCAAAGGCTGCAACTTGGTTAAAAATCAACGACCAAGTGCAAATAAAGCCGTAACTAGAGATGTAGGTCCGAACCCTGCCTTGGCTATTCTTTTTCTTGTGACTCAGCGGACTGGGCGGTAATATCAATATAATGTTAGATACGTCATTCAGGTTCTAACAAGAATGCTTCAAAGACGAGAGAACCCAGTAGGTGGTATGGTAAAGCGGTCTAAAGCTCTGCAACTTAAGTCTTATATTGTGGACGAAGTGCAAACAAAGCCTTGGATTGATGCAGGCTCGGATCTTGCCTGGGTTTATGTCTTTTTTCTTGGCTGCATTCATAAGACTTGAGGTGAGATGAGCTTAGCTGGCTGGTACTGTATTTTTGAATCGCCTTTTATACCTCTATATGGTTGGTGAGGACTTTAAGTAAAGAGCACGGCCTTTCCAATAAGGCGAGGACGCTTCTTTGGCCAATACCAAAAGGTCCTTTTGATACTGACCCCCAAGGTAGATCACGACTCACACATGGGTATACGCATGAGCTGTTGAATAGTGGTATTTTATACAATGGATGTTATACACAATATCTACGTCGCCGGGAACCCCCTGAAGTTCCCGTTATTATCATACTTCGCCTCTGCATATTTAGTCAGCCATCTATTCTGCACCCAAGACATTATACCCCTGAAAATAAAACAGAGCACTTACTGAAGAACGTATAGCTCAGCGTGACCTCGTTTATGCCGCGCATATTCAGGTCATTCAGCAGATCCGGGTCCAAGTAGAAGAAAACCGGCATATCCACGGTCTCGCCGGCGTTCAAGCGCTGCTCCTCGAAGCAGAAGCACTGGATCTTGCTGAAGTAGGGGGCGACCTGGGCGGGGGTGACGCTGTAGGTGGCGACGCCGATGATGTCGCTGTCGCTCTTGTTGGTGGCGGTGTAGAAGGCGAGCGCGGTCTCGCCCGGCAGCACCCGCACCTCGCGCTGCTGCGGCACGAACTTCCACGGCAGGATGTCCGACACCGAGGCGTTGAAGGTGACGCGGATGCGCCGCGCGTCCGTCACGGGCACCAGCCGCGACGCCGGGTCGAAGTCGGCCGAGTCGCTCGAGGGCCCGTGGCCCGGCGCGCGGACGGGCTGCCCGCCCCAGCCGGTGGTTTGGCAGATCTGTTCCCGGGGACCAACAATCATCAGCTCCGTCTACTTCATGTGGTATAGCGTAGATAGTCAGAGAATATAAGGTAGGAGACCCACCACCTTGTACATAGGCACGGATCCGTAGGAGAAGGCGACGGTGCCGAGGATGATGCTGAGCGTGTAGTACCTATTAAAACCGCCATTGAGCCTCAATTCCAGCAAGCACACACGATGAAGAACGTCCAATGGAAGAAGAGGCTATATATACATGGTCGTCCGGTTTTTGTATCTGTAGTACTCGGCCATGCGCTCCATCGAGGGAGCGTTCGTTGCGGTGGCGGTCGTAGCTTGGCGGTGCTGCTTCGTCGCAGAGCTATTCGATGACACCGTCCGGCGCGACGCTGGTGGCGGTTGCGACGACCGGGCTCGAGCGAGGGCCCGTCGACACGATGCGCATGCCCATGACGATGTACTTGTCTGGAGTGACCGCCACGAGGTCTGGAAGAGGCCGTTCATTCTGGAGTTGTAGAGGTTATAGAGGGAATCGAACCATTTTTCCTCGTGGGGTCATCAATAGGCAAAGCTTTAGGTCCCCTCCCCTGTAACATTTTAGTGGGGATGAGCTAGTTTTACAGGGGTTCCAGCAGTGGCTTGTCCCGCCGTAACTGCTGTATGCACCTAGGTAAACTCGGGATAGATGGACGCACTGCGACTGCAATAGGTACCGAAGTAATAGGTAGATGCAAACCATGCTCAATATACACTTTTAAACAGCAAAACTTGGAATTATAATACATAAGTGAGTGATAAATGTATGGTGTCTTCTAATATGCACATATGACAATGAAGTCTTATCCAAAATCTAAACGAACGATGCTACGCCAATTTCCCATTCAACCTCTTCCCCGTACCGTTTACATGTTTAGACACCCTCCTCCTTGACCCGCGGAATATTCTCTCTAGCAAGTCTATCACAAAAGTCTGAATGACCAAAATGATAAGCCTCACGAACAAGTCCAAAATGCCCAGCTTGGGTCGCCTCCCGCGACTGTACGTCGAGTCCACAAACTCGAAGGGTAGCTTGGCTCCGAGGTGAGCTTGGGCTGCGTGTAGTCCGCTGCTGAACCCGTCTTCGTGAAATCCGTATTTGGTCCATGCACCGGCGTAGCTGATCCCTCTCCTGTCCTGTATCCTCGGTAGAGCCTGTTGTGCCTTGATCGCTGCAGGGTTGTACAGCGGGTGAGAGTACGAGTACCGGCCCTGAACGGTCCCCGGCTTGGGCTCGTGAATGGGATTTAGCGTTACCAGGACGTCTCCAAAGGCTTCTCTCGGAATATGCTGTAGGATGTTCATGTTATAGGTCAATGAGACTTGGTCGATATCTTTGCCCGTCCATGGCGATGACACAGTGAGATAGTTCCAAGCGGACCACGAATTCTGGCGCTTCGGCACGTGTGCGAGATCTGAATGAAGAACGCAGGTGTTCTCCGAAGTCTTGAACGAGGACATAATGGCCTTCTCTTCTGGAGTAGCTGAGGGCTTGATGATCTGGTAGGCTTGGTCTCCGTGGGTAGCTAATATGACGTGGTCATACACATGCGTCTTCCCATTTTCCAAATGCAACTTGACTTTCCCATTTTCATCGTTGGTGAGATATTTGACTGCAGTCTTCAAGAATAGGTGGTTTGGCGGAAATCCCTTCATCACCGCGTCGATATATGACTTTGCGCCACCTTCTAGCGTGAGCCAATCCGGCCGTGTGGCAACTGTACTCAAGAGGTGATGATTCCACATGAATCGAACGAGCGTCACAGCCGGAAATTCCAAGGTGCACTTGTCAGGACTCGTACTCCATACCGCGGCCGTCATAGGTATCAAATAGTCGTTGCGAAATGTGTCCGAGTATCCTTCTCTATCCAGATATTCGCCAATAGTTTCTAGAGGTTCAGCACTGCCAGAACTAGAATATGAGTCACTCTGGTCACTGCCCTCTTGTTTGAGCAAATCCAGAGCGAACTGGTTGAAGCGGATGATATCGAAGATCAACCTCCACATCCTCAAAGAGAAGATATTCCTCCTCTGGCAGAATATAGAATCTAGACTAGTCCCCGACCATTCAAACTTCCCACGGTCCCGCGAGACGCCAAAGGTCATCTCAGTGATCACCGTCTTGACATTGATATTTTTTAGGAAGTTGATGAAATTTGCTGGAAACTTGTTAGCACAACATGCATAACTCCATGAACTTTCAGCTGACGAACGATATGTTGCCGTGTTGAGGACGATGAAGCCCGTGTCCACGAGGGTCGTGAATTTGCCCTTCTTCCATTCTACCGTGTTGGTATGACCACCTAGGCGGTCCGCCGCCTCGTAGAGGTAGACGTCATGGTGAGTGCGGTTCAGCGCCCAGAGCGCACCGATTCCAGCGGAACCGCTACCGACGATAGCTACCTTCTTCCTAGGGACCCAATTAGTGGACGATGTCATCGATTTCTACCCAACGGAGGAGTGCGAAGACCGGGGGAATTGTGATAGTGGAGGGACCTAAAGACTCGTGGATTAGGTGAATAAAAATAGTGAAGGTGAATGAATGCATGTAAGTATATGCAGTGAGAGGATACTATGTAGTACATGTACTTAAGCTTGCGGTGGAAGGGGAGCTGAAGAAAGCCCTGAAGAGTGGCAAGCTAGCCATGTACGTTGGCGCCATAAAAGGCCATACAGCGTGGTTCAACTTCAATAGTTCAATGTCGTGGCTGCAAACGAACGGGTGGAATGGAAGCTCTGGCAAATAGGAATTGTACCAGCCGTATGCCATACTCGTCATACAGTACGGGCAGCTGCAGATCCATGTGGGTTACTGTTAGACTCACATGTTTATTTCGCCGGAACAGCTGGGCGCATTATGCACTTTTCATGTGAAGCCGAATAGTCGGATGTTGTGGTCATTAGATCTTTAAGAGTTGAAGTTGAGGTGTCATTTCTCATGTGACAAGATGTCCCAAGTCATCTCTAGGTCAATCCGTGCGCTGAAACGCTGAGGCGCTGATTGACAGGGATCCACTGAAACTATATTGGAGAAAAGAAAGAGCACGAAAACTTCACTATGAATACCCTTCCCTTTCATGTTGAGAGGGATTCATCACTAGGTAGTTAAAGCCCTATTAGGCCATGTTTAAGCCCTATTAGGCCATGTTTAAGCCCTATTAGGCCATGTTTAAGCCACTACCGAGACATAGCTGCTAGAGCTCAGCTCAATCATTTTAAGCTTCTGCCACGCCCTATAGCCGTGACACAAGTGTGCTACATTTCACGAGTCCAAATGATGCCTAAATATGACATCACTGCTGATATCTCACGATTGAGGCTCTTCCGTAGGTAGGTAAACAATATTATATTCACTCTTCGATTTCACCACAAATCAGTCCTCAGTCACACCGCTCGCGTTTGTCATGCTACCTAGGTGCCTAGGCAGCACGCATACATCCGAGATGGCGGGAATCTGCACAAGCGTCATTCTATCAAATAAATGTCGAGGCTCAACGGGATCGAATACTCAGAGGCGGCAGTTCGCCGTCTAACATCCAATTCTTAGAAGCTCCATGTTTTCGTCTGCCCGGCTAATACAACTCCGCGTCCGTAGAATTCATATTGGAATATGAATAGGACGCGAAGCCTAAATTCTGCTTGTCCGGGGGTTCAACTTTCATGGAGGAGAAAAGAGGAAAGGAAAAGGAAATTGGTTCACGCCCGCGGTTTTATTAAAAGCTTTTTCGTTTACGGTGAATTGTGCACGGTCCACACAGTGTACTTGGCCAATGTACCTTAGGTACCTGATTTTATCCCGCGTGGCTGGCTTGTGGCTGGTAGCCCGGTAAGGCTCCACCCAAAATGCTGGCCTGGACCGCATTGACGGATCTGGGAAGTGCCGTCGACCTGCTTTCTTGGGTTACGCAACTGCACAT